GAAGCCATCCTGGGGCCGCAGACATCAGCTGCATCGTTCCCTCCAGAGGATTCACTCGGCAAAACCAAGAGAGCTCGGATTCTTTTTGGAACCAGGTGGGGTGAGAACAAAGGAAAGGGCTCTAGCCGGTGCTGCCTGCAGAGTATCCCTGTCCCAGCCGCCCCTCCCCGGCAGGGCAGAGGAGACTGCTCTGTAATCTGAAATGTGGGAACGTGCACACAACATGAAAGGTAAACGCCGTAACCATTTGCGAGAGCACGGCTCAGTGGCACTCAGTACACAGCATTGTGCACTGTGCTCTGCCTCCGTCTTGCGAAACTGGTGCTCTGTACCTACTGGACATGAACGCCCCACACTCCCTTCCCCGGCCCCTGGCCACCGCCATTCTACTTTCCGTCCCGATGCCTCTGACTGCAAGGTCCTGCACGTAAGTTGACTCACACAGTACTTGTCCTTTTGTGACGGGCTTATTTCATTTGGCATAATGTCCTCAAACTCACCCATATTGTAGCATGCGTCAGAATTTCCTTCCTTTTTAAGGCTGGAAAAGATTCCATCGCACACACTGAGCACACTTTGTTGATGTATTCATCTGTCGGTAGATGCTCGGGTTGCTTACGTCTTTCGGCTGCTGTGAAGAATGTGGCTTGGAACACAGGTGGACAAGCATCTCTCTGAGACTCTGCTTTCAATTCTTTCGGGTCTACTCCGAGGGTGGAATCGTTGGATCGTACGGTACGTCTATTTTACTTTGAGGAGCCTCCATACTGTTTTCCAGAGTGGCTGTACCATTTTACATTCCCACAAACAGCCCGCAAGACTTCCAATTTCTCCACATCCTCACCGACATCCGGTGTTTTGGTGTGTGAGTGTGCGTGTGTTAGTAAGAGCCATCCTAACAGGTGGAAGTTGGTATCTCCTTGCGGTTTTCATTTGCATTTTCTTAAGTCAAAGTGATATTCTGCACTTGAAACAGGCCTCACTAATACAACCAAAGAATGACTACAATTAAAAAAAAAAAAGAAAAAAAAAAAAAAGGTAGGGGGGCACCTGACTGGCTCAGTCAGTACAGCATGAGACTCTTGATCTCGGGGTCATGAGTGAGAGCCCCATATTGGGCATGGAGCCCTTTAAAAATAATACAGGGGCACCTGGGTGGCTCAGTCAGTTAAGCATCCGACTTCAGCTCAGGTCATGATCTCATGGTTAATGTGTTCGAGCCCCATGTCGGGCTCTGTGCTGACAGCTAGCTCAGAGCCTGGAGCCTGCTTCAGATTCTGTGTCTCCCTCTCTCTCTGACCCTCCCCTGCTCACGCGGTCTGTCTCTCTCTCTCTCAGAAATAAATTAAAAAAAAAAAAAAGTTTTAAATAATAACAATACATACATACATGCAATTTTTAAAAGATTTTTTAACATTTATTTATTTTGAGAGAGAGAGACAGCGTGAGGAGGGGAGGGGCAGAGAGAGAAGGAGACACAGAATCTGAAACAGGCTCTAGGCTCTGAGCCATCAGCACAGAGCCTGATGTGGGGCTTGAACCTGTAAGCGAGATCATGACCTGAGCCGAAGTCAGACGCTCAACTGACTGAGCCACCCAGGCACCCCACATACATTTTTTTTTTTTTTTTAAGGAGAAAGTGCTAGTGCCCTTACAATGCTGTGCTGTCTGGTGGCACTGTTTCCCAGACAGCCCTGTGAGAAGAGCCGCATAAGGCCCGGCCCATGCTCACGCTGTATACACACATCAGCTCTATCCACATTTCTCACCCCAAGCAAATATGAACGGTCCTTTGAAAAAAAATCTCAGTACCGAACTCCCAGGAGGAAGCTTTAAACCCTGCTAGAACGCTACACGGGTGTGTTAGCACACAAATAATTCTGAATGGGGTCAAGCGCCCAATAAAACCTTGTGTTCATTCCAGCATCTAGAACTGGTCAAAGATACGACAGGTTGCTTCTGCATGTCTGAATGCCTGCTGGGCCCAGGTCTGCCAGCAAAGCCGCAGTCCTGTCCTGCCCCGCTGTTTGCTGCGAATTCGTTGAAACAAAACAAATATAAAAACTCTAAGCAAAACAACCTATGCTTTGCTTCAAAATGATCGATGCTGATGGTGGGGGTGGGGGATGATATAAATTACAAAAGATTGGTTAATGAGTTGGTTAACTGTTGAGACCAGCTGATGGGAACATGGAGGGTTCCTTAGGTTGTTCGGTTTTGGTATTTGCTCTATTTAAAAAAGAATACTTCTCGAAGGACGGAAAGCTTGGCATAGGATTTATACACTTTCAGCAACCTCGGGAGGCAGGCCACAGGGCTGTGCCATCGATGCTTCACAATGACAACGCAAAGACTACTCGGCATCACTCAGTGGGGCTGAGAGTCCAGGCTGGCACCTGGGTGCCCCCTGCTGCACCCACTGTGCTCTTTCCTGAGGGCTCAGCAGCCCACTTCTCAGGCCTCACCCCACACTTATGCTCCTGTGCAGAAGACAACAGCAAATCACTGTCGGGGACCCAGCTGGGACACGTCTGGCCACCCTCTCTTTTTCCCAGCCAAGCTCTCCTGTGCCTCGTTTTCCTGGCGGTTCCTTTTCGTCCCCTCCTGTGCTGCCCCAGTGCACACTAACTGAGAAACAGACTGTCACCCACACACTCGTCAATCCGGCCGAGGGCCGATAACGCTGCAGCGCCCTTTGATCAAGCAGACTCACTATAACTTTGGATTGGTGAACTCCCCTACTCGAATCTGGGGCTGCCAAGGGGTTACCGGGCAAGCTGGTAAAGCTTCCCAAAAGCAAAGAATCCGTTCTGGAAAGAATGTGAGGAAACGGGGCATTAGTGGGCCCGCGGCCACAGCAGCAGCGAGTTTCGCTCTAACAGAAAAATGCAGGACGACCTCCTGGCCAAGGCGCCAGAAGTAGCAAGCACAGCCTGGGGGAGGGAGAGAGCAACACTGACAGCTGGGCGGGCAATTGTCCCAAGTGTCAGACTGCCTGCCTGCCATGTGGCCCTCCACCACACACCTGGCCCATGGGCGGGGCGGGGCCTCCAGGCGGGGCGGGGCCAGGAGCACTACAAGTGCAGGAAGCCACATTAGAAGCCCAAAGAGCCACAGCGAATGTCCTGTATTGCCTTATTTCAAGGAAAATGACGAAGTTGCTGGCGACAGGCTTTCAGAGCACAGAAAAAGGTGTGGGGTAAACGGCCAAGCCACTGAATCCTACCCTGTTTCTCCAGGACAAAAAATTAAAACTAAAAAAAAAAAAAAAACAAAAAACCACCAAAACTTTGAGATAAGCCATCAGGAGATGAGGCTATAATATCAAAGGTGAAAGCTGGGAAGTCTTACGTAAGTCTGCCTTGTTCTCAAGAGTCTGAGTCCAAACGGCGTGCCAAAATCCACAGGAGAGGCAAAACGCGGCATCACACCACTCGTTCTATCCCTCCCTGTCCACGTGCTCCCAGATACTGACAAGCAATGCCTGCTTAAGGTGCACGATCACAGCCCCTCACCCACCTGCACAGACCCGGTATCTGTCTCTCGCTGCACCAATCCTGCTGGTGACACACACGTGCTAGAATACCTCCCTCAAGTCCTTGACCATCTCCAGCAAGCACTCGATTTTTCTGCTCTTCTTTAAGGCAGAGCCTTCGAAAGGTCTGTCACGAGTCACAGTCTCCACTGCCTCACATCCCACCGGCTCCTTGGCCAACTCCAGGGGGGTTTCCATCTCCCAGAGCATACAGCACGTCTGGTCCAGGTCACCAACAACCCCCACTTTGTCAAAGCCAATGCCAATTTTCTGTCCTCATCCTCCATCACTCCCCTGCAGCACAGCTGACTGGTCCTCTATTCTAGAATGCAAAGTCTCCTGGCCTTCCTTCAGCACCCCCCCACCCCTCCTCTCACAGCCAACTCTGGATCCAACTCTCCTCTGCAAGGTCCCCTCTAGCATCCCAGGATTTGATCTTCACAGCCCTCCTTCTTCTCAGTCAGCACACTCTCACTCAGTGACCTCACCTAGCCTCTATCTGACGGTAGCAAAGTCTTTCATCTCTAGGATGGCCACAGACCTAGGAAACAAACATCTCCATGTGGCTAAGAGACCATTCTCACACTTCTGTCCCCAAATTCTATCTCAGAACATGGGACCACCCCGTCCCTTCACTCTGCAGAATCACTCCAAACTCAGATCCAACTTAGAAGCTAAGAGTTACTAAAAGGAGAAAATAATCCCAGCTATTTCCTGAGCACTGTAAGGTCCTACATACCCTGGTTCCTTCATGTCTCTGTCCTCACTCGTGTCCCCTCTCCCCTGTACTCAATGAGCCCCAACCACAAGGCCCAAGATCCTTGCCCCTGCCAAGTGCATTCCTGCCTCAGGGCCTTTGCAAAGGCTGCCCTTCCTGCCTATGGCTCTCTTACCAGACCACCACCGGCTGCTTCTTCACTGTACTCTGGTCTCAGCCCTTAAGTCACCTCCCCAGAATGCCCTTCCCCAAACCATCCCAGCCAAAGAGCTCCTCCCTACTCTGATGCTCAGTAGGCTCCTGCCATTACTGGTCACATGCAAGCGCCACAAGGAACAGGGCTTTACTGCCTTTGTCCACTCCTGCCTCCCAGAGCCTAGAACAAGGCCTGGCCCATAGTCAAAAGTGCACTAAGTGCCCTGCTACTGAGGTCTCACCACGAACATTCCCAGGCAGGCAAGTGGGAAGACAGACATGCATGTGGGCCAGAGCTTCGAACGCTCGTAACCCTCCGAGGCTCGGGTAGGGGCCCATTAACCTCGTTTTCAATCACCTCGGCATTCCCTGTCACTATACTTAACAATCTATGTTGTAATGGACTTGTCGCTGGTTCTGCCAGGGGCCAGGCTCATTAACCCTGCCCACCCTCTCCTGCACGGCCTCACGGGGGGCCTGGCAAATCAACACCTGGTGAAGAATCATGATCTACTGAATGAAAGACTTGAGCAGCTGCTCTCGGTAACTCACCCAGAAGACGATGTTGTAGCTGAAAAGGAGGTACTTATACCAGCAGCTGACCTCGGCGTTAGAGTATCTATAATAGTGCATCTTCCGAGAGGTGGGATCTGTGGACAGACATGGGAGCGATGAGATGACAAGGTCACTTGCAATCAGTAACATCTCCCCCAAACCTACCCCCCAAGAAAGAGCAAGGGTGAGGTTCGCACGCAGTCTCCAGATATTTCCCCAGACTGTCCCCCCGTGTTCGTGCACAAATCCAGGACTCGGTTTACTCTCAAGGCCAGCTACAGACTGGGCAAAAACCACATTCCCTCAGCTCTCCAAAAGCAGCCAAAAGAATAAGGAGAGGTTTCTGAAAAAAAGGAGAAGGCCGATGTTTAATAAAGGCTTCCCTTGAATTCCAGGGCTTCGCGAACATTCCAGCTTCCCAGGATGTCTCCTCATCCTCTACTTCTCAGCAGAGGAAACAGGAGTTAGGAAGGAAGGTTGTGGGACCTGCCCAAAGGATAAGACAAAAAAACACGACAGGGCCCAGGATCTGAACCCAGGACAGCGGGGGCCACAGTCCACATCCTCTCTGCCCACCGCTACCCAGGGCCACAGTCCACATCCTCTCTGCCCACCGCTACCCAGGGCAGAGGGGCCAGGAGTAGAGAGAGTCACCAAAGAAACGAGGGACGAGGGTACTGAGAGGCACATCTGGAAAGAAGAGACGAAAGGGAGGCATGAGCTAACCGACGCCACTAAAGAAAAGTCAGGATTAAGTCTCCATATCCATTCATCTAACGTTTTCTGAGATGACCTTCCAAGCTCTGTCCTCATAGAGGTGAGGAAGGTGGAGAGAGCCCAGGAGCCTACAGCAGCTGGCATTCCCCCCATGCCCCTCTCCCCGCCCTCCCCTGCTTAACCCACCCTCCAACTCTCCCACCGCCACTGTTTTGGTCTCCAGAGGCTGTGGGTAAAAGCTCAGACTCCAGAATGTTCTGTGAAATGCACAGAGGGTGAAGTGGGGAGCACTCTTTTCTTTCTATCTGTGTTCCTCCCCCAAAGCCGCTCAGAGAAGCCTACAAAAAGGAGGGTGCCCTCAAAAGAGAAATCCGAGGACCTGGCCCGCCTTTCTGACTTTCCTTCTTGAACCCAACAGCCATCCAGGTGGGCCCCTAACTCCCCCTCCTCCACCCCTTGCTGTCAAAGCAAAGACTGAGTGCTGAGTGGTGGGGAAGGTGGGGGGTCAGGTGGGTGCCTCAAACTGACCCTGGGGCGGCAGGATCTAGGTTCACAGGGGAATGCTCACCCCCAGCTCCCCCCTCTTCACCTCCCACTTCCTGGGAAGAGGGGCAAACCATAACAGGGCCCGAGGCAAAAACAAACAAGGCTACTCCAGCAGAGAGGACACAACCCACTCACAACTGCCGGGAAGATTCCAGCTACTGCCGCCTTGCTGAGGAGCGGCTGCAGCAAACTCCCTTCCCGTGTGGCAGCCTCAGTGGCCTGGCCCCAGGGTTCGTGATGCTCTGAGAAAGTGGTGCCAAGCAGGGACATGAAAACCACAGGCCTCTGGAAATGGGTGCTGTGCTGGCTCAACCCTCCAGGCCACAGAGCAGAATCAACAGGCGCCGAAGCCTGGACACCACCGTTGGCTCACCCTCCTCCCTCTGGGAGGGATGGGCCAGGCTGGCATGTGGGGCCTCAAAAACCAGCCAGGAAGGCAACAGCGACCCAGAAACCCTCACGTCCCCACCGTCAGAACAGCACTGCCACAAAACTCCCCTCCGCGGATGAGGATGAAGGTGAACCCAGGTACCGAAGCACACTGCTGGGTCCAGGGCACACAGGAGGCCTGAACGTGACCTGGGCCACGCAGGACGGCTACAAGGAGATCACCCAGGGCTTTCAGGCCGAGACCCCTTCCTTCAGCAACACGACCCGACCCTGGACCAGCTGCTGCCCTCTCGAGGCCTCAGCATTCTCAGCTAAGACTGACCCTTAGGCTAAACACAGATCTCAGGGCTCTCTGCCCTGCAGGTTCTGGTAAGTGGGTCCGGGCTGGGGCCCAGAATCCACCTGTTTGACAATGTCTGACTTGCCTGATGGACTAAGCATCAGCCAAGGACCGCGGTCCCTCTGGGGACCCTACAAAGGCAGAAGGACCCTGCTAGCTGTAGGGACACAGGACACAGACTAGGGCTATGGTAGCGACGGCTCTCGGTAGGCAACGAACTAAAAGGGAACCGACACTCACCCATTTATGTTTCACAGATTACAAAGCCCCCAAAGCACCAGGTTTTTGTCCAACTACAGATGACTGGCTTCATGCATATAGGAGAAGAAAAAAAAAAAACACTTTTTTTAACCTAAAACTCAGGTTAGTTTCTCATAGAGAAACAGCCAACTTGGCTCGAAATGCCCCAGAAGGCAGGAAAATGTTCCAAGTGGTAGAACCCTGTTCCTTTTCATGGACGAGACAAGCCTGCTCCTTAGGATTGTCCCCTGTTCTTTGCGGTTTCTGGAGACGTCTGGAAGGTGGATGGCCATACGCTCCATGGAACTGAACCCCATAGACTGGGGAGGCCTACTCAGGCATGGCACCCAAAAGTTCAGGAGTCCTAGAGAGTAGCCTTGGGTACCATTGGACCTAACCATGGTAAGGCTCTCACTCCAAAGCTCTGAAGCAATAAACAAAGCCAGTCCCCCTTCTTCCTCCACAAAGAAACCGGCCAATTAGCACATGTCTGCATGTTCTCCACAGTATTGGCAGCCGCATGCCTGCCCTTTGCCTGGAGCCTCTGGGAAAGGATTAACCTGAGGTGAAACAGGGCCAGTTAAGCCTGAAGAGCATAAAAGGCCACAGGAATTTGATGGGCACGCAGGCCCGAGAGGAGAGAGTTGTCCGCAGGGCACCTGGCCTCCCTCACCTCAGGTTTTACCCTCTTTCACGTGGCCCGGAAGGCCTCACCCTCCAATGACACAACCAACCGGAAAAAGCTCTCCTTTCACAGACATCAGGGTCCAATCCCACACCCAGAGAGTGTCAACAACCATGACCTCAACTCCAAGCCGTACCTTCCTGGAGGCTCAGACACTTAGAACTGCACTCGCCAGGTCCACATCGGGAAAGGACCAGGAACCCCCTAATCACCACTGACAGCGCGCACCATACTCAGACGTGTCCCCTCAACGCCTGCCCTGCACGACCCAGGGCACACACACGGGGCATTGCACCACGTTTGTCAGCCCAAGATAACCCTGTGAGGTCTAGGGGTGGGGATGTCCCAATGACACCATTTCCCCATCCAACTCACAAAAGAGGAAACCGTTGAGGGGAAACATTTCAGTCTTTTGTCACCCACTTGTTTATTCTTCCCCGTGGGAAGAAAAGGCACTCAAGTAACCACTTCGCCGCCCCCAGCGAGCCTAAGGAGCAGGAGGAAAGGCTCTCGCACTGCAATCTATTCTGCTGGCCGCCGGCGGTAGAAGCAGGTGCCCAAGGTCCCCGTCACCAAAGATCCTGTGCGCGCGGGCACATCCCAGAACATAAACCGAAGCAGGTGAACGGGAAGATCTGTGTGGACCCCGTCCAAGCCACGCCCTCCGATGCAAGGCCCTGCGGCCCTCGGTTTAGAGATCGAAGTGGATCTGATTCAGCAGTTTCATAGCCTCAATGCCTTAGCCACCCATCTGGTGTTACCCATGCTGAAGCAGCACCCCGAGAAGGTGACAAAGGCACTGGTGCCGGAACTAAAGCCCAGAGCTGACCCAACGTGCACCAAAATGACCCCGAGGTGACCGTGGTCCCTGACAGCTCAGCTTCTTTGCTAAACCAAGTCACATCAGAGAAAGATGGAACCTAGTTCCCTACCAACTAAGGAACTCAATTAAAACCAACACAATTTAGGGATACCCGCTGGCTCAGTCTGTGGCGCATGCAACTCCTGATCTTGGGATTGTAGGTTCGAGCCCCATGTCCCATGTTGGAGGTAGACAATACTTAAAAATAAAACCTTTACAAAACAAAAAATCAAGACCATTTACCTTAAAATACACACACACACACACACACACACACACACACACACACAATCTTATTTTAACAAAATAACAAAATATCCTAAAAGATGGATAAACTTTTCAGAAATACTAATTATCACTCAAACAGAAACGAATCTCCAAAAGGCATTCTGTGCTTTCTATATAGGAAACAATCATCAGAGAAATTTAATTCCAAGTCCTCAAACTGCTTCAACTCCATAACATAGTAAAACAGAATAAATCATTTACATGGCAAACAGGAGGCATGTTATCTGTCAAAACAGCAACTTCTCAAAACAAGGTGGGTAAGGTTAGTGTTGAAATAGCCCAGCAGTCTGAAAGCTAAATAAATCTAAATATTAAAGGTTGTGGGGCGCCTGGGCAGCTAAGTCAGTTAAGGATCCAACTTTGGCTCAGGTCATGATCTCACGGTTCATGAGTTTGAGCCCCGCATCGGGCTCTGCGCTGACAGCTCAGAGCCTGTAGCCTGCTTCAGATTCTGTGTCTCCCTCTTTCTCTGCCCCTACCTTACTTGCACTCTCTCAAAAATAAATAAACATTTTTAAAAAATTAAATAATTAAAGGCTGCAAGCACACTAACAAACAGAACAGGGCAGTTCAAGTCATCTTCACTTTTGAGCCACCAGGAAAAAATACGAGGTGCAAAAATATCAACGTGAAACAGTTTTTAAATTCCCATGCAATTGAAAGTAACGTAAGCATAAACGCAAATGGGGGCGCCTGGGTGGCTCAGTCAGTTAAGCATCCGACTTCTGCTCAGGGCATGATCTTGCGGTCCAAGAGTTTGAGCCCCGCATTGGGCTCTGTGCTGACAGCTCAGAGTCTGGAGCCTGCTTCGGATTCTGTGTCTCCCTCTCTCTGCTCCTCCCCTGATCCCACTCTGTCTCCGTCTCAAAAATAAACAAACATTAAAAAAATATTTTTTTAAAGTGAAACATAAATGCTGTTTTCGGCAGCTTGCAGCAATTATGACAAAGGCTAAAAACCTACAATATATAAAAATGCATGCTTAAAAGCCTCCAGTTTTAGGCACAAGAACAAAAGAGATGGACCTTAAATGATAGGGAAGGACAATATAATTAACAGATGAGAAATTGCTCAACATCACCCGAAATGAAACCTAAGAACAATCCAGAGAATGCTATCTCCTGTTACACGCTTTAATTTGACAAAATAACCACGTAGCTACTGCTGGCAAGCCTGTGGTAAGGATGGCAAGTTCACACCTTGCTGGCAGCAGAGTGTTTGGTAAGCTAAACAATATGGTTACAGACATTCAAAACCAAAAAAAAAAAAAAAAAAGTCATACCCTTAATCCAATAAAGTCATGACCAAGAATTTGCCTCCAGAAAATAAACCAACAAAAGAAAAAGAATATGCATTAAGTATGAAATCTGAACACCATGGTTTGCAATTACGGAACAATTTGTAAGCATGTGGTCGAAGGCCAAAATGGAATATAAAAGTATGGAAACGGTTGCATGGAGTGGTAGACTTCTAAGTGATTTTCTAGAAACGTTTCCATTGTTGCACTTAACCATTAGACTTCTGCATTATAAATGTAAATCGGCCATTGCGGGGGGCGGGGGGAAGGTGTGCCAGCCTCCAAGGATATTGCCCCCCCCCCCACATGATGACCTTGTAGACAGGGCCTGTCTACTTTGGGATTATGTCAGCCCATAAGACTCCTTCTCCCTCTCCCTTTTTATTTTTAATTTAAGAAAGTAGCAGGTGCTCCACCATAAAATATCTGAGCAATGCAGAAGCATGAAGAGTGAATGGGTAATGAGAAACCAGTAGACAATGGTTTTCATATGTCCACCATGACCCACAGTAAAAAACACATGAACAAAATCAAGCCAGTGCGCAGGTAATCACATGCACAGCTGAGCTTCATGAAAAAATACCTTCCCTTTTGTGCCCCATGCATTCTAGATTTGTAGTTTCAATTTTTTTTTCCAAAATCACGCCTGCATATAATCTAAGAAGCAACTTCTGTAAACACTGTGTTGGAAAAAAGCAGATCATAATCCCTTCCCCGTTCCAGGAGACCCTTTCAACTTCCCTGCTGATCTTCATCGCTACACTCCAAATAGCTCTTAGAAATTTCTGTATATAACTTGCTTGTGTTACTATTCCTTGGCTTTTCAGTTTTTGGTATTATCTACCTACTTCCTACCCTGGAAGGTGAGGATGTCACTTTTTTTTTTAATGTTTATTTTTGTGTGAGAGAGCGAGCACATATGCACTGCGCGCGCACACACATGGGGGAGGGGCAGAGAGAGAGAGAGAGAGAGAAACTGAGGATCCGAGGCAGACTCCACACTGTCAGCAGAGCACCTATGCCAGCTCAAACTCACGAACCATGAGATCATGACCTGAGTTGAAGTCAGATACTTAACCAACAGAGCCACCCAGGGGCCCCACTCTGTTTACTCCCATAGAAATCACCTGTCTGCCCCAAAGCCCCTCACTCTTTCTCCTTTCCTGCATCTCCACTCTAATTATAGTTAAACTCTAGCAATGGCCAGAGTGACTTTCAGAGTTTACATTATCATGACCACTTCTGCCATCAGGGTGAGCTGTAAAAATCATAATTACTTTTCCTGCACAACTTTTTGTTCTCTGGAGTTAATAATAATTCTCTTAGTTTTCGGTTTCCTATAAATTTACCCATATTCAACCCCAAATTCAATGCCAGGTGTCCAAGTCTCCTCTCAGCAAGTTCATTTACAGCAGATGTCATATCTGTATTTCTTCTTCCAGAAGAAAACTTTCCTGGAGCTTCTGGAACTGCTTCGATCTGGACTGGTACACTGAATTCCCTTTACGTCAATTTGGGACACAGCCCACAAGAGATCCAGTCTTTGCTCCCCTTGGTGGAGAAATCTTTCAGTGCAAAAGTTAAGTTTTGTAGACCCTATAGGTCTGAAAACATGTTTATCCTACCTTCAGTCTTGAACAAAAGTTTGTGGACAGAATTGGGAATCAATTTCATGGAGAATGACAAAGGCGTTACTCCACATCTTCTACATTCCTGGGTACCGAGAAGCCGTGAAGCCACTCAGATTCCCCATCTGTGTGTTTGACAGGTTTCTCTACCTGGGTAAAGTTGTAGGATCATCTCTTTCTCCCCAGCATATACTGAAATTTCAGGGTACTGGTGTGGGTTCATCTTCACCCACTTGGATCAACATCTGATGAGTCCTTCCAATATGGAAACCAATATCCCCCTAGGAAATTGTTTCTCTTGATGATTTTCCCACTCGTACAATTTTTTCTCTACTCTCTAATTCCTATTAGTGGATATGGGAACCCTGCCTGATCCTTCACTCTATTATCCATCTCTTCATCTTTTTCGTTTTTTGGAAGACTCCTTCAACTTTATCCTCTAATTGTTCTGATATTTTTGTCCTGCCCTTATTTTTTAAACTTTCAATAATCCTGTTTTCAAAATATTTTTTGTAGTATCCTGTTCTTACTTCATAGATACAAAATTCCTCTGATCTCTGAGAAAATACCTAATTTTTTTCCAAGTGTTCTTCCCTCTAAATAGCATGTTTCTTCCAAGTTGCTTTTTTTCTTTTCCCTATTTGGTTGATTTCCTTTCAGATTAGGCACCTTCTTCAGATGTTAGTAGTCCTTGGTAATCTTCATAATTTAAGTAATCCTCACAAGGAAGAGTAAATGCCTAAAAACTAACTGGAAGTGGGGAGTCTTGGGGCAGGTGAGTTTTTGTGAAGATGATCAGGCTGGCCCATTTGCCGGGAAATCCTTGTTCCTGGCATTGTTAATTCTTTCCTCGTAGGCCAGTCAGGTTCCCCAGTGAGGTCTCTTAAGCTCCTAGCTGGAAGGCAGGGGGCTGGTTGTCATCAGTGTTCGGGAAGCCAAATGGAAGTAGAAGGCTGGGGAATGAATGCGGTCTCCATATGCACCTCCAGGAATGCCTGGAGTCTCACAGATCCCTGGTGTTTCCTTCTGGAGAATAAATCTCCAATGTCCAGCTACAAGGAAGAAGGCATCACCAAGCATCATGGAAGGAAAGCAATCCAGGTATCTAACCACATCAGCTGCTTTCAAACAATTCTTACATGGAGCCATCCCCAAAAATAACACTGTGGTGACATCAACTTCTCTAATTACTTTTTAATTTTTTAATAATTACTTATTTTTGAGAGGAGAGCATATGCCAGTGTGAGCTGGGGAAGGGTAGATAGAGAGGGAGAAGGAGAGAATCCTAAGCAGGCCCAACGCTATCAGCACAAAAGCCCAGATCAGGGCTCAAATTCACAAACTGTGAGATCATGACCTGAGCCAAAATCAAGGGTCGGGCGCTTAACCAACTGAGCCACCCCGGTGGCCCCCAACTTCTCTATTTTGAACCGGGACACTCATCCATGTAGTCCTGGATTACAAATGTTTTCTTGTTGTTTCCTTTCCCATCACCCCTATCCTCATACTGATTCCTTTTTAAAAATCCCCTTTATCTTAACTTTTGTGAAGCTCTGTGATAAAGTAAAATGAATCCACCAATTTTACCCAGATGTCTAGGAAGACTTCAAAAAATTGTTAGTTGCCATCTTTTTACTGAGCAAAGTGAAAAACCATGAAGCATAACTTACAACGGCAAAAGAAACTTGGCAGATGTAACTAAGACTGACTGATCAATTGACCTTAAAATAGTGAAATTACCAAAGTGGGTCCTTAAAAGTAGGACTCTCTACCAGCTGAGGGCAGAAGTCATCTGGAAGGTTCCAAGTATGAGACGGACACAGAACACAATGCTGGACCTGAGATCCAGGAGCCACGCGCACAGAGCAGGAGATAAGGGTAGCCCCGGTGGACAGCAAGGAAGCAAGACCTCAGTCCTACAACAGTCAGAAACTGAATTCTGCCAATAACTGGAATGCACATGAAGTACATTATTCCCGAGAGCTTCCAGAAAGGAACACAACCCTGCCAACACCTAGATGTGGGCCACAGGAAACCCTAAGCAGAGATCTCGGCTTAACTATGCCGTACTAGGACAGCACCGTTTACCCATAACCTGAGCTAGAAACTTTCCCTCCCACACTGCCCCCCACCCACCCTTGCTGTCTCTTCTCTCACACATTCTCCAGTCAGCCATTCACCAAGAGTCAACCTTTCCACCCGGCTTTCAAGGCTCCCAGCACTGGCACCTGGCCCAGTCACAGGCCCATCCCAGGGAAGGGCGGCCATATTCCCAAGGGAGCTGGAGGCCTGGCCGCATCTCCAAGGAGCACACCTTAAGCCTCAGACATTCCCACCAACCGAGAAGGGCCCACTGGGTGCTGAGGAACATTCTCAGGCCAAAGAAACAGGGAGGCCCAAGACGATGCATCGAGGACAGGAATGGTGAATATGGAAGGCGAACGGGTTCCAGTGAGAGAGGGGGTCACAAAGGCAGGCCAAAGTAGGCTGCCTCATTGCCCACGGGAACGATGCGGGGGCCTCAGCCCCAAGGCCTAGCCACCCACTAAAGGGAGGAAGGCTCACAGGCTCTCAATGTCTCTGAGTCACCCTCAGAGTCAGAAGTGTCTCTGTCCCACTCTAGCCCATTCACCTTAGGACCCAACTCCTCACAGCCAGAGTCTGCCAGAAACAGTGCGGGCCAGACACGGTGGCAGCAGCCACTCAGAGGCATCCAGAAGTCTGACTTCCTCAGGGGAAGACACTACAAAGTCACACAGGGGTAAGGGTGGGCCACCCTCCCTTATCACTGTATCACAAGCGCTGAGCCCCTGGCACACAGGTGTGGGAAAGGGAGGGTCCCAGAGTTCAGAGACCAGAGACCCAAGGGATGGCCTCCACGTGTGGTCCAGGAAAGCCTAAGCTACTAGCTCTGAGCCCAAGCAGCCTCCCCCATGGGCCTAGGGTTCTAAGTATCTAGTTTCCTGTATGAAACCCTGAACTGAGCAAACACCATTATGAGTTTCCACCACCAAAACCCACACAACCCAACCCTGCTTAGTCTAAGGAGCGCCAAGGGGCCTCCTTGTTGATCTGGTGAGAGGAGACCTTTGTCGACATCAGTGCTGACGCTGGGAAGGAAGCAGAGGGAGGGACAGAAGTGGGTCAAAGGAGGGAAGCGGGAGGCGAGGGCTCAGCGGGAGGAGGGCTGGGCCTGGAATGGAGGTCACCTAATCCAGTGATTTTCAAACTTACTATTTTTATTACTTTTTAAGCTACAGGAGCTTCTGTTCAAAGAAACCCTGACCCAGAAACCCAGCATGAAGACAGGCAGAGCGGGCCGCTGCTCTGGGGTGTCTGGGAGGAAAAGAGGGGGGCTTCGTGAGGAGCACACTTGAAAAATCATGGGTCTCGTCCGGCTGATCCCAAGTTCCAAAGAACATCAGAATCACTCAAGGAGCTTTGTCCAAACTGCCCATGGAGACTGGTTCAATAGAACTGTGGCAGAGCTGGAAATTCACATTTTTCAGAGCTGTCCTTCACAGCAGTCAGTTTGGAGGAAATCTCGCTGGCAAAATCTGGAAGAATCTGAGCATCAGAATAAACAATAACAGTAATGGATTCCTAACTCATTGAATAAAATAAGAATCCTTGAGTCCACTCTGATATATATAAATACATGGACAAACAAACAAATGGAGAAAAAGAGACAGCGCTTTTTTGGGGGGGGGCGGGAAGGTTTTATTTTTAAGTAACCTCTCCATTCAATGTGGGGCTCGAACTCACAACCCCAAGAGTTCCAAGAGTCGCATGCTTGACCGACTGAGTCAGGCAGGTGCGGCGAGAAAGCTCTTTTTGAGCGGAATGCCAAATGATAAATGTAGCAGGAATTGACGGAAGTACGATATCACCATTCGGCAGCCAAGACAGAAAGATCTGTCAAGAAACTTCCGTCAAGGATCATCGGTGGGTTCTGTTTTTGGTCTGTTCCAGCTACTACAACAGGGCTGGGCAGCTTATAAAGAACGGAAATTTATTTCTCATGGTTCTGGCAGGTCCAAGATCAAGGCACCAGTACGGTCGAGTAAGGGCCCTTCCTGGTTCAAAGCTGATACCTTTGGCTGTGGAAGAGCAAGAGAGCTCTGTGGTGTCTCTTTTAAGAGCTCTGCTAATCCTCTTCGTGAGGGCTCTCCCTCATGACCTAAGTACCTCCCAGAGGCCTGTCAAATTGGGCGTTAAGATTTCAACACATGAATTTGAGGGATACAAACATTCAAGGCAGTACCAGGCTCTAAAACCAGTTGATATTAGTTTGATGAGAAACAGCATGTTTACATCTCTCCAACCATCTCCCCCAGGACACTTATTAATTACAGAGAACATAACAGTAACTCGGCAGTGGAGAAACCCAGCAGACACAACCTGGCTAACTAAGTCATCACTTTTCTCATCACCAGTCATGAGTCAAGCCAACAGCCATCCTGCCTGAGGGGAGGCACTGAGGAGGACACCTCATTTCTGTGGCATTCCTGATGAGAATGCAGAACATGAGTCTAATCATAGGGAAGAATCCAAGAAATTTAAAGTAAGGGAGATGCCACAAAATAAACGGCCTCGAGTCAAAGTGTAGAGCTTGTGGCCATTTTCCTTAAACAAACACACAAAAAACAGACAAACAAAGCACTAGGACAGAAAGCAAGCCTGGGGCCCCAAGATCTTGAACATGATTCATCAGGTACTCATCCAACTGCACCAGTACCACTGAGGTGGTGCAGGCCCACCCAGGTGAGGCAGGACTTAGTCACCCATGGCTGCTGCCCCCCACCTGCTCAGAAAGCTGGGTGCAAGAGGCCTGGCACCTTCTTGCCTTCTTGGCTGCTCTGCCCTCTGCCGCGGAAGGTGAAGCTGCCAGCTCACAGGATGGGGGGGGGGCTGTACCTCTCCCCAGATCATCACGGCAGGCCTATTTCTGAAACCCTAACTGCACTTGAAACGCCTACACCCAGAAGCCGGTCGTGCACAAGATGTGGAGAAACGGGGCCCAGTCCACGGAGACATCTTCAACGTGGCCAAGAACCCAGAAGGCCAACACACTGGGCCCCGAAACTCTCAAGTAAGTGCCTGAGACCAGGGCTCCCTAGACTGAGCGCGAGGTGGCAAACAATCTCTCAGCGCACAAACTTGCTAGGCCAGTCCTTCCCAGTTGACAAGGCTCTTGTTGTGGGAGACAGAACACCTCGGACTTGATTCTACATGTCTGGACACCTGCTGTGTGCAGGGCACCCCAGATGAGGCTGTGGGGGTGAAGAGCTCACAGTGAGGCGGGTGCCTGACTCAGGGGACTTGGGCCACACTTCCTTCTACTCAGGGCGCAGTGAGTCGGGTAGGAGCTGGAAGGCAGGATAGGGCACAGGAAGGAAGGATGAGGTGGGAAGCTGGTCAGGAAAGCCTCTACAGAGCGGATGGTTTAATCGCGAACGACACGAGGGCCCCACATCTAGACGGTCACCAACTTGCCCGGAGATGGGGAGCCCACACTGTGACGCAACACGGAGGCCATCAAATGTCTCTCACCAGCAAGACTCTCTGAGGAGATGATCAACACCGCCCCAGGTGTGTCCCCAGCTCTGGGCCAGGCCCTGCGGCCAGAGTGGCTGTCCCAGCCGAGGGGAGACAGTTGGGGCCCTGCACACCTGAGGTCCCAAGTGATGACTGGCCCCACTCGCGGGGAGAAGTCACTTCTGCTCCCATAACAAACCGTGTCCGCCGCCCTTCTGGGAGCTCCTGTAGTGCTGTGAAGATTTGGGCGGCATGTCCAATGCAGACCTGAAATGTTCTCTGTGCAGTCTGCCCCACCCCCACCTGGCTCTCCCCCACCAAAAATCGATGTCAGAACTCAAGTACACACACAGACTCCTTTTCCTCCAAGTTTCCATGCCTGAAACACATAAAGACTGTGTTTCTAAAACACTAAAAAAAAAACAAAAACAAAAACAAAAACAAAAACAAAAAACCCTTGGGGCGCGTGGGTGGCTCAGTCGGTTAAGCATCTGACTTCAGCTCAGGTCATGATC